CTATAGGCTGTGGTTTGGTCAGAAGTTGAGAACTCGTGCATGTATGTATGCATTATTTCCATCTCTCCACCATCTATTTACGACTCGTGGATAAGGATATGGAGGAACTATGCCGTCTTAATAAATGATCATTGTGGGTTGGCCAAGATGGAGAGGATGGGTCGTCTTGGTCGTCGGAACTTGTTGTGTGTACGTTGGTTGAGTGAAATCTGAGGGATGTTGTTGTGTAGCAATGTAGTTTTCGTCCTCTCTGTCTTGTTTTAAAAGCCTCCTTCACTTGTTCTTGTTTTTGTTGGGAGTATGAGAGGAATTTGGGCTCCCTATTCTTCCCACCCGCAGTTTCCGGAAGGACATTTACATCCACAGAGAGGAGTTTGTTGGGTGGGGTGAAAGTCTTCTGATGGGGAAATGGGTTTCTTATCATTCTTGCCGGATTTCACGCATATCTTACACATTGTTCCAATGCCCATTAGAGACCGACAAAATTTATTTTTTACAGCGACTACTTCAACTTCACCCACATGTCTTCCCCCCATATTGTGAGTGTATATGTGTGTAATGTGGACTGGCGTGGATGGGCTGGTCGCCATTAGAGTTGCAAAGACTTAACTTATTTGCCATGCATTTCTTCTTCCTCTTCCCCAAGAACCAAGAGCAAGAGCCCATACGTACATACGTACGGACCACGCTACTGGTGCTCCCCTCCAAGGAGAAACAAGAAGCAAAACTGGTTTTTATTCCCTTTTTCTTCTCTGCTCTGCTCTCTCCCAGATTGTCCCAGAGATTTAAGAAATTTATTTTACTCCATCCACTTCTCTCCTCCTTTGTTATTTATTTTTATTTGTATTTTTGTCGCCAGTCCAAAAAAAACTCTCTTATTCATACAAAGAATCTCCCCCGACCAGCAGCAGACTTTCGCTTCAAATGTGGATCTTTTTCTTATAATTACTCTCCATTGTGGGTGGCACTGCACTTGGCATACAACTGGACGCAACATTTCTATTCTACAGCCACTTTTCTCTACTTTATTGCTACACATGCTACCAGGAGAAAATAAGTATGAGGAGCAGAAAAGTTGCATTATTTTGTAATCCTGCTGGTATACGGGGACAACAAGGAGCGACCTTTTTCGGTGCGGGGGAGAGTCGAGTACATTCCTAAGTTGACACTCTTTTTAGGCTGTTTTCACACATTCGCATAATTTATTCTGGGGTACTACTCATATTCTTGTGCAAAAATGTGCAACTACTTTCATGCGAAGAGTCGCATGTTGGTGGAGGACGAATAATAATGAAGGTTTTGTTTTCTGGTATTTTTTCAGGATATGAAGGTGAATTGGGCGGCTTCATCACCAATCACGCAGTCCAAGCCTGACACGAGCAGTAAGTTCCTTCCTCTGGAGATATATCTTTATCTGCTTCTTTCATCACATAGCTATTACAAAAATGGTTACGTTACGCATTCCGATTTGGTTTCTCTCTTTCTGCTGGTGTGCATCCTAGTGTACGTACGTACGTACTTGGAGTAATACCCGTTAGTACGTAGCTCTGTGAGGGTTGTGTGTGTGTGTGTAGAAGGAATGTAAACGTTAAACAAATTGAACAAGGGAGCAGTTGCAAAGCGGGGCCGAATCACTCAAAAAGTAGAGTTTTCATCTCCGATAAAAGCCATTTGTCGGATCGAGCCCCATATGCGCAACCCTGGTTGTGTAATAAAATTGGAAAGTATCCGCATTTGGATAACTGCATGATTACTGCATCATCTTCATCGCTCAAGTGTCACTTGTAATCGGACCCTATGAAGTGCAGATGTTGTCCGTCCATCCCTCCGCCACCCCTCCGCCCGCCCGAGACCACCGATTTCCACACCCACCCAATCACTTTCCTTCATTGAAATATATTATATTTTTCCCCTCTTTACGAAATGGATTACATGCAAAGTACTGACCATCAGCTTCTCCTTGCACCACGTTCTCGCCAAGCAGTTTGATTTTTTCCGGACACTAGTTTCATGACCTAACGGGGACATAAAGTTGAAATCGTCCAACTTGTTATCCTCTCCTCCGTGGTGGTGGTGGTTGCTGTGTGGGATGATGGTTTTGTGTAGCAATTGGGGGGATGGGGGGAGAAAGAGACGACACGAGGAGGAGAGAGAGGAACGCCATGAATAGGTAAAGTCAATTTCAGATTAAACTGCAGTCATAAAGCTTCTTGTTGTAGTCTAACGAGCACGAGTGCTACGTACACCGGACTTTTGATGATACTTGAAACAGAATGGCTAAATACCACCATCACATCAGCCAGTCGTTCCTGGCTGTTTGTGCAGGGGCGTGGTGCTGGTGTGTTGCGTTATGTGGGAAGAAGAACGCGTCAGTAATTCCGACCGAGTAGATAGTGTCCACAGCTCAGAGTTTGGATGCATGTGTCTTGTTGTAGTACTGCCGCTTTAAATTATTAATCGAGATCCCTCATGATTCACTTTTCTCGTGGCTTTGCTTGGGCCTCATTTCCTTTGTGCCTTACACGACGGCATGTACATACGTGCGGGCGGGCCGTAACAATGAGGAACAATGGATTATTCCGCTTTACCCACCACGGTCCACTGCGACCAGACCATGTTATTATCTCTGGGTTTACTTTTGTGCTCTGAAACATACTCACCGACCGCAATTCTCTCCACTGCCCAGCTTTTCTTTGTTGATCCGTATTGTTGCTACCAGAGGAGGAGTAGTTGGTTGGACATTGTGCATGGATGGAGAGGATAAATATGATGTATGGGAGAGGAAGCTGGGGATTGTATTAGTGAGACCATCATAACCCTCAGTGGCAGGCAGGCTGGTGGGTAACAGCAGTCGTCCTCCTCCACTAATCCCGTTTGTTTATGAATTAATAAACTCAAAGAATCAAGCCGAGTTCATGAAATGAAAACTTGTGGCAAGGTATTCATGCCGTTGGCTTCACAGCGTCGTCCTCCTCCTTTCTCTCTCCTCCCTGTGGTCCCCAGAAACGCCAACGCCACAAGAAAATGTGGTGAATACGGCATATTACCAAGATTTTGCAACAATTCGTCCAATCCGGCTCGTAATCTTTTTCACCCTCCCTCCGCTCTGCTCCAAAGTCAGGAATGAATGGAGATAAACGCTCCGGGATAAAGTTGGTTAAGCCCAAGTCGAGGTTCGAAATGAAGTTTCCTCCACCAACAGTCAGGTCGTTTTCTAGCACAAAGTATGATATCCTTCGTACGTACCCAGCGCAGACACAGGTTTCGCATAAGCTTGCGATTCAACTCATTAAGGCTTCACCTCCGCCGTGGATGCAATTTACTTATTTTTACGACATTTTCTTCACTTTATATCGTGTGTGTGTGCTCACTTCCCTGATTTAATTTAGTTCTGGTGAAAGATTTCATATTCTTTTTTTTACTAGGGTGGCTTACCCTGCGTTATCTACACACAGCACAAAAGCGCTAGTCGTGTTGTATGGTGGTGAATTGTATTGTGAACCGTATCGCGATTTCCCATCAAATAGTACATGCATTCTCATCCCTCCAATTAGTAATTGAACTTATGGTCATGTTATTGCCAGTAAAACAAAGACTGGGATGATGGCGGTGTCCTGGTGGGTGACACATTCTGCTTGTGGCATCATTTCATAAAGTGAGCAGACCATTCTTATCATCACCTCATCACCTGATGCTGATGGTCGTGGTGGTGGTGGTGGTGGTGATTGTGATGATGCAACAAAGTAATCGGGCGGCGGGTCGTGGATATGGGTATTGGAAAGTGAAAGGCCTTTCTTTCTTCCCCATTCAGCCATCCGACACCACATCAAGCAAACCTCGATCATCATGAAGGCGCGATACACCGTTTAATTAATTAGCCAAATGCATGCCTGTCCATTAATTAGGGGGGAAACAAAAGGAGCTGATGGAGAGTGTATGAGGGTGGGAATGAAAAAGGTGGTGGTGTTGGGTCTAAAGTGGGGCGTCCATTGTTGCTCTGATGGAATTTGGCTTGGTGTGACACTAAGTGTACGTATGAACGTACGTCTGAGCGTATATGTAGCAGGAGAGAGGAGGAAGAATGTTCCGTCTGACGCGTCTCCCTAGTTGTCGTACGTATGTAAGCTGGCAGCGGATGAGAGCATGTCACAAGAAGAATAATGGGATTGACGATAGTGGTGATGTGATCGATAAAGTAAGAAGAATTTGGTTGGGTTGGCCCATCACATCATGTCCTTATTCCGAAAAGTACTTGTTGTGTTGCATCAGAGAGGAGAGGAGGCAAAGAACACAAAATATGAAGCGTGTAATGGTGACGAGTGGTGTTGTAGCAATTTAAAATCGCCAATTCTAGTCACGTCAAATGCCTTCAATTGGCTGTCGGTCGAGATCGCAGTTTTGTCGAGTTGGCATTTCACGTCGTCCAAAACTATGTATTCTTGGACTTGCTGCTGCATCCACTTTTTCCGGTCAAGAACAGAGTGGTACGTACGTACGTACGAGGAGGAGTATTACCGGGGCACATTTCTCTACTGACCAAGCAGCAGTCTGTGGGGTCGCTATCTACCTAGGCATTCAGGTCCTGGGCGATGCGGTGTGGTGCGCTTTAGGTCTGAGTGACCAATTGTCTGGACACAATGGAGGAATTTGTTAGCTATCTCCTGTCCATTTATTTATTCTTGGATGGAGTGAGTGCGGGTCGTATCAGTGGCCGTGTTGTGAAAGGATGTTGTTCTTGGTTCCTTCATGCGGGCCAATGTTGTTTAAAATGTCATGGAGTTGCTTTTGACGAGGGATTACAACAACGGAAGAGAGAGAAAGCCAGAGAAAGATGCAGTATCCATCCATCCATCTATCCGACTTGTTGTGTGAGATCGGCCTTTTTCGGCCTGGGTTTCGGGTTCGCGGAGAAAGTGGTGGTTGTCGTATGTCGCTGCTGAGAGAGAGCAGAGAGCTGGCTAGCCGTGCTTTCATATGCCCCTACTCAGAGCTCCCAGCGACGTTCAGCCATCCACTTGTTGTTCAGTGCTCGATAGTTCTCCACTCTTTCTACCAAGCCAATCAGCCCCACTCGGAGGAAACAACACCTTCTTCTGTCCAAGGCAGGCTCCTTTCCCACACACTGCTCAAGTTGGTCGAGGCGAGTGCAGAGCTCTGTTCCTCTCTTTCTCTCTCCCAGTTTCACTACACACACTTTCTCTCCGTCACTTTGTTGTCCCCAACCTCTGAACCTGTTGACACCGTGGTGAGCGTCGAAGGAACCAGGAAGAATCTCACTTTCACCCTTTGAAGCATCTCTCGTGTGACGACTTGCTCGCTTCAGTGACTCATCAAAGGCGAAGGGAAAATCTCAGTTAGTTGTCTGTTTGGGGTGAATGAGACGAATCTCTCCTCGATCCTTGTCAACTCGATTGTACTGAAAAGGTCCTCATTTTTTGGACTTGGTTGGGCACACAGCGTGTCTCAAGATCGCCAAGACGGACTCCGACCTCTTATTCCCCTCTTCTGCCTTGAGTCCGCCCCAATTCCATGCCAAAGTGTATCTCCCCGCAAATTGTTGCTGTCCGTCCGGGCCCGCCGCTGGTCTGTTGACGTCTCCGCTTCTTCGACACCCCAGCGGCATGTTGGCCACCATGTCAGCACTCATGCTCCCCACGACCGCGTCCGTCGCACACATGGGCGCCACAGCCCCCTCTCATATGCCCCTGCTCGCCGTGGGTCCAAACACCAAACACGGCTTGGACGGCCTCAAGTCACCCTCCGGATCTAAGTCAGGTACGTACGTAGGCAGGCAAGAAAAGCCAAAAACAACCGACGGCAGTTCATCATCATAATGCAATGTTGAGAAATGTGGTGGTGGTGATGGTGGGAAAGCACAGTAGCCTTTTTCCCGACCGACTTTGGGGGAGAGTGAAGAAAAGTAGTGAAGCTGACAGATTGGAGAAAGTACAGGAGGAGCAGAGTTTCGGTGGGTTGTGGGAAACGGTGTGTGCTCAAATGATTATTTATCAAACAAAAAATGTTGGGAAAGTTGAGCAGCGAGGAGAAAGAAGAAGAAGGGAAAGTTAGTAGATGAGCTCCGTTTTTCCACCGCCACGACTGCTACCTTTTTACCTGTTGAATCTTTTTCTTCTTAACTTTTCCACTCATGACGGTGATGTCGTGCTCAACTGCTGTCTCCGCTGCTCACATTCCCCTCTCTCTCTTTCGCTCTCTCTCTCTCTCTCCTCCGTCGCAATGAAGAATGATAAACTCTGACTAAATTGCCTTCTCTATCTCTTCTCCGCCTCCTTTCACTTACTCCCCAACCTGCGAAAGCAATAAAATTTAATTAGACCTCTCTTCATTTTAATCACCGATAAATCATCATTTGAAATTTCTTGCACGCAGACAACAAGTCCTCCTCGCACTAATATGTCTTCTTCTTCTTCTGTCTCTCCTTTATCATTATCGTCCTCCGCTCGTCGTGGTGGTGGTGATCTATTATCATCATCCCCGTGTGATATACTCACTGATACTGCCACCACCAGCCACCCGCTGATTGCATGCTGCTCCTCCTGCTTACCTGTTGCAACAGGAGGTACACACACACACACACCGGAGAACTAACAGCCTTGAGGCTTTCTCTGTCCTAGAAGTTTAGTTTGGCTTCGCTCAGTCCCCGTTTCCGGTTGGAGGGATGATTAAGCTAGGAAATTGATGATTGATCGCCTGCGGAAGAAGTTGGCCATTTTTCATGACTCAATTCATTATGAGGCTTATTCATTATGAGGGGTCGATGAATCATCTGTTTTTGAAATTCGTCCTTCTCCATGTCTTTCGGTCGTGGGTAGGGGTTCAGTGTGAATCAGTCATTTGTGATGCCTCAGAAAATTGTGGGAAAGAGCGGGCGGATTTCACCTTTACAACCAGACAGCTTGACTTGCTTGTGCTGCAGGCTATTTGCTGCTTCCACCCCATTGTGCTCTTCCTCCTGTGCGGGGAGACAGTAGCTTTTTGTTGCATCGTCACGACATGCAGGTAATGAAAAATATGAGCCACATTCAGTCATGTAGCAGCAGCATTGTGTTGGCTGCCACTTTCTCCAGTCTGCCCTCTCTCATGACTCGATTTGGCTATTATATTGGCTGGCTGGTTGGTACAGATTGGAGAAAGTGAATTTAAACGAGTGGAAAAGAAAGTGGAAAATTTTATGGGTTTTGGAGAGAGAGAGAGAGGCTAATAAATTGGCGTGTAGCGGAAGGAGGCAAGATGAAAAGAGTTGTATATAAGGAGAGAGAGAGAGAGAGAGAGAAGTGAATGAGGTGGATTTATTTCTGATGGTGAGCCTCTGAATGAATGAGTCTCAACATCTGATTTATGAAGTCGAGATCGAGATCTGGAGGAGAGGGTGAGCGGAAGGAGCATTTTCGGGACAGAGGTGAACCGTCCTGAACTGGTTGACTCTCTCTCTCTCGATTTTGGAGTGAGAAGTATATTTCAAATTTAAATGTGCAGCAGAATTGATGGTGCTATGAGAAGGAGAGGAGGATGAGGATTGCAGTATTTGTCGGCCCAGATCCAAAATTTCCCCTATTGATCTCTCTCCTTCTGTTGTGCTGTGAAGAAGTCAATAGGCAAGTCAATGGACCAACAAGACCGAGGGGTTGCCAAACTGTTAGTTTCTTCTTCTTCGAGTCGCTTGGTGGGGTTCGGATTGGATGGAGAATGACACTATATGTCGTCCCCACCACCACCACTTCTTCTGTGCCTCTTGCCAAAAATGCTAATCAATTGCTGGAAAGCTGTGTATACAAGGCTTGGCTCCCCGCTGGCTCCATGCATACGAGCTTAACTAGGTGGACCCCTCCACATATAAATGGTGGTCTTCTTCCTTTTTATGATTTTCTTCATTATCTGTCTCTATTTTGTTATGCTTAAGATTTATAAACTAAACCACCCTCGACTCCATCCAGCCGGCAGAGAAGATGGCTTACTATAATCTCCCCGGTTTTGTATCTGGATTTTGGCCATAATAAATTCTTGTGTCATTCTCTCGCTCCGCTTTTATAAGCCTTTTACCAGGTTTCCCTCATACACAACCCTTCGCAGCAAAACGCATTTGCCCAATTGGTGAGACTCCAAAATGTGCCCTGCTACGTACATGTGTACCTCCCGATACGTACGTACGACTTGCACTTACTCCTCCATGTACATACACACACGGAGTAAGTGCAAAAAGTGAACGACGACACAATATAGCTTTGTGTATTCATGAAAATGCATTTGTAACAATGCACGAGGGAGTCCAAAATGCCAAAATCCATCCACTTCTTCGTCTCCTTGCAAGTTTTTGTTGTCTCCTCCTCGTATGCAGCAGCTCCACCAGACTTTTATTGTGTTGGTTATACTGCTGGGTCGAATAGCACGACACTTTTTCTTCTCTCTAAAGAAGAAAGTCAACTACTTGTTTTCCACCATTATGCATTATCCATCATAATAAACACGGCTATATCCTGTGCATGTATCGCCTCTCCGACGTATAGACACGTATTACAGCAACAATTGTGTGCTGGGGAAAAAATGTGAAAATTAATGTTCTTGGCGACACTCTAAAAATTTTCGTCTTCTTTTTCTTTACAGAACATTACCATATTTTTGTTGGGGACCTCAGCCCAGAGATAGAAACCCAGGCGCTGCGTGACGCGTTCGCAAATTTTGGAGAGATATCGTGAGTGCCAAAGAACAATTCTTTATCCACTTTTTTACATTATGAATGTTTCTCCTCGCTTGGAATGTTTTGACTTTCGCTTTGTGCGTCTTGTCCGAACGAGGAATGAGTAATGAACGTATAAGCAAAATCTTTATTACGTATTATTGCTGATGGTGACTATCGGGAGAGACGGGCGAAGGGGGAGGCTTGGCTGTGGTGCAGAGATAATATTGATTAATGAAGAATTAAACGGTGTCTCAAAATGTGTGTTTGTGTGGAGATAAAATCTCATGTAAAAAGCTTCGTGTTCTCACAATAGACAGCATCATCGTCACTCTGGCTTTGCAAAGTAAGTAGTTTGACTCTTGTGATTAAAATATGTGTGAAGATTGTGGTAGAATTTCACACAAGTGTCACCAACCGTGCGAGAGGGTGAAAGTTGATCTCGTCCTGAATTTCGTCACGCTGAATCCACCTACGAGCAGTTTTTGGGTATCGTACTTCATCCATCACTGCTTGCTGCTGCTATCTCATTGTTTGCATAATAATCGATACTAAATCATTCCAACGTACTTGAAAATGCGACCATCCTCGCACACTCACCTATCAACCTTGGACGGACCGAGAAAGACAGAGTCAAGAGGAGGAGTAAAAATTTGAGGTAATTTTGGCCTGAGGTTGGCAGGATTACGACACTGAGAATGTGGAGGATATGTAAAACTGAGGCCAGGAAGAATATTATTGGAGGGACTTTCTCTCCAACCAAGGATTGAAACTAGCCCTGAGCAATCGCTCTCTCTCTCTCTCGTATATGAGACGACTGGATGAGGAGCAGGCAGAGTAGGAGAGGAGAAGAAGGGTCGGAAAAAGGAGATCTGATTGTATGCTTCCTCGATGTTTTATTGAGGAAAAGGAGGGAGAGAAACAGCTTCAGCTTTACATCACATTACGTCTTCGGAGGGTATGTGCAGCCGCCGTATTGTTTTTTCTTCCGTCTCGCTATCCGCTATATATTGTGAAATTCGGGAGTCCGCAGCAGCACAACTTTTTTTCCGTCTTCTTCTTCTCAAATCTCGGATGTCCAATAAAATTTCCTTTTCGAGGCATCAAACCAGCGACTTGACTATATTTTTGATGTACTTCTCATGTACACACAGGAGCAGCCTTTCTCTTTTTACCTCGTTTCTCTCTCTCTCTCTCTCTCGTTCCTTGTTCTTGTATTTCCTTAATTTATCCTTAACCTCTGATGAGAGAGGAGGAAGAAGAAAGCGGCTGCTGCTCGTGCTTCTGGTTACTTCTTCGTCTTCCCTCTTTCTCTCCATCTACATAAACCCTTTCTCGCTCCTTTATTGATTTTAACAAAGATTTTGTCCACATTTTACTCCCGTCATTATAATCCCGTCCGTACAAGTGAGGTGGAAAGTCAGGCGATTCTTAGATTAACTCCTTCATTCTGCCTCAATTTCATGTCGTATTAATCGAATTTGCTCATGAGAGCGAAATGTATATGTAAACACGCCTGCGCGAGGGGGTTAGGGTCATCTGTACTTTTTTAAATGTGGTGGTGACGACTGGGGTGATGAATGGATGAGAAAGAGACGAAAAAATCCGTTTAATTGGCGACCAGACGAATGCACTCCATTTATTTTTCTGTTCACTCACTTATCGTTGATAAATCTGGGAAATATTGTGCAATTGTGCAACGTATTGATTCCCGTGAGGCTAATCCAAGGAGGAAACCAAATTTGCAAATGTTGGCAAAGTTGTTGCAATCTACTTGTGGAGGTTGATGAAAAGGAAAGTTAGGGGATTGGCTCTCTCAAGTCTGCTGTTTAAACTGCTCATGGAAATCACACTACTATTGTCGGGAAATCGAGGGAGAGAACTATAATGGTGGAACATTTCGCATTTCTCTTTTCTTGGTCTTACATTCCATGCCATGCCACCACCACCTTAAAAACCTTTCTCTCTTGCCTAAATTACTTTGCAAACTCGAGGCAGGCAGGTAGCCATAGCGGGTCGCGTCGGACGTATGTGTGTTGGGTTTGGTCTGTCGGTCGGTCGGTCGTACTTTCTCAATCTGACGTCAGGAATTTAATCCCGATCCGGAAAAGAACTGCATTTTAACAGGAAAAATGCTTTGGGTAATAATTTCCTGGGCAAGCATACTTGGCGGAACTGTTGTACTTTTCTTTCAAGTTATAGTCACCGTCATCATCATCATCATTACTTTGGTCCTGAATCGATTAATTGTTGGAATGGCCAATAAGAGCACTTACATTTACACTGCTCTCTCTCCTTCCTCCTCTCCCAGAATTTGTTTGTGCAGAGAGAGAGAGAGACTAATGTTTTTGTTTGGCAGCCCAATGGCGGACAACATTTAATTAAAGTTAGTGTTTCCCAAGGTTCATATACATGCATAGTTTCGCTTGATGCTTAAAAGTGTAATAATTAAAGGAGACGGGAGAGATTTTTGCTACCTTTTTTCCCTCCTCGCTTACGAGTACAAGTAGGAGTGAAACAGTGGCAGGACGACGAGTGCACAGTTCTTCTTCTGTGTTTGAAAGGAGCAGACTATTTGCCTCTAATTAATAATGAGATGTGTGTGCGAGCGAGGAGTGGATGGAAAGTGGAAAGAAATGCTGCTGTCGTTCGTTGCTGCTGCGCCGAGAATTTGTACGTCTTTGAAGTCGAGAAAGATTTAAGATTTGAATTTTCTATGCTGCTCTAATTTCACCCACCTTCCTCATTTGCTCTCCTCTCGGAAACCCGGCTACCTAATAACTTCTGCTTTCTCGAAGCCCCACCATGCTACACATTGTTCCGAGGAAACAACCCAGCGTATTGTTCACCTTCCAAGTACGTAACATATTTATGTATGTGCAGCGGCCGTGTGGAGGTGGTGGGTTAGTTTGTGTCGAGATTGGTCCCCTCCTTCCCCCCGTGCTGGAAAGTTGTAAAGGAACAACACAAAGTCGACGAGATGAAAGGAGTCGAGGACGTTTTCGTGGTGGTGGCAGTAGTCGAGTGGCAAATAGTTTCGGTCGAAGATGGGTTCACAATAAATGAGGAGTAATAAGAGACTCTTAATTAAGAGGAGTTTTAATGCAGTACTTGTTTAATCTCGGATCCGGCTCATGCGACCCTTTATAAATATCCTGCTCGTCGCATAGGGGACGACCGTGTCATGGCAAATTGTGCAAAATATTTAATTCCGGCTGTAAATCTTTTCACATCCATTTCTCTCTCTCTCTCTGGTCCTCTTAATATCCGCATGCTTCCTCTGCTAAAATAAATCACCGGCCCGCCCGGTCATTTAGTTTATGCACTTGAGTATTAAAATTTGTCGTCCCCTCCTCATTTTCATCTTCCTGCAGTTTGACGAGTTGTGGGTGCTGTTGCGACGAATGAGGACACCTCGTGTTAGGTAACCTCGTCATGAGTTAATTGCGTGCGAGAACTGTTCGGGCGTGAAAGTGAGTGAGCATTACGTAATAGGAATAACTGGGAAAATAATGCATAACAATAGGTAATGACTGAGTGGCACTGTTTGGCCAGTCTGTTTAGTCTCTTATCGCACAGAGACAAAGAGTCGATAGGGGTGCATTTGCTTTTCGACGAAATGTCTGGTCCCGTTACGTCATGGAGGTTGATGAATTGATTGGCGTTAATTAGCGAGAAAGTTGGAAACGTGTTGATTGATGCATGCAAAATTAAGTACTTGGAAATTTCCTAGCAGAAAGAAATTACGAGAGGAATTTTGCAATAAGAGTATTTTCTTTTTTGTGCATACGACGCAGATTCATGTATTTGGTACTTTATGTAAATCTAGTCAAATCCATCTCAACTCTTAATTATTTCTCCATTTGCACCCTAAAGCATAATATTTGATCGACGTGGTACAGTAATTACGTGCATAGGTCATTTCGTGGTCTCTTTTCTTACATAAAGTCACCCCGAATTGCAAAATTTTCACTTTATTATATTCTGCACTTTCCGCAAAACCTCCGTCCCTTGAATGTCGCAGATATACAGGTGAAGTTTGCAATCTTTTCTTTCCTCTCTCCTCTCACCACCAACCACGACCACGTATTTCGTAACTCCAACCAAACAGCTTTTACTTAGCCACACACATAAACAGGAGCAATTTAATGGTCGTTCGTACAGGGCGTCACCCATTTCCATTAAATGGGCTGTCATTTCATCAGCTTATTAATTTCTGAGGGAATTGATATCATGCAACAACATTAATCAATTTATTATCTGCCTGGTCCGCACTTTCTCCTTTAGACATCGCTCTCCCGTAAAACAACAATGCCTCCGCGGGATGTGGAGTTCAGCTCAGTTCATGCAACAGTCTATTACAATAGTGGCAGAGTAATTTTGATGAGAATTAATTCCTAGGTTTCGTTCCAGTGACGATAAACGTACAGATCTTTATTCGCTTTAGTAGCCTTATGTCATTATGTAATTCATTTTATTTCGAATTTGCATATCTATCTAACCAACTTTGTCTCAGTTTATGGCGATCCTACTTGTGCTCAATCCTCACGGGTCCATTACTCCGTAGTAATAATAATAAATCAATTATTCATCTCAACGTTACACGAGGAACATGCCAACCAAGTAAATATTAACGAAAATGTTGCATTTCCTGAAAATATCTACCTTACTTTGACAAAGAAATTATTTGTGTGTCCCATCGTCCACTAAAACTAAAGGTCTCGCCCATCAAAAAACAAAGGATCGCGACTAATAAAAATGCCTTCATAAATGTCTCGTATGACGATTCGTGCAAAATGTATGGGAGCAGGAATGCCGAACATGTAGTAGCAAAACTATATATATAAAAGTGTTGTTTTTTTCTGGAGAAATAATTATGGGTGGATAAAGTTCAACTGCTTACTCGGTATCTGGATGGATAAGTCGATGCCAACCAACCAACTGGAACTACCAGGAAGTCGGTAACATAATAGTTTGCGGAGAAGGATGCACGATACAGTTTGGCTCCTCGGCTA